GACTGGGGAGGGGTGGGGGGGGGGGGGTGTAGTGGGGATGCGGCCCCCCCCCTCCAAAGGAGAGAAAAAAAGCCCAGTTTGAAGAACCCTGGGGTCCCTGCTGCTGCTTCGAGAGCAAAGATCCCTCTGGTTGTGCCAGGGGTGGGTGCTTCCACGTGAGGGCCTTGTGATGCAGCCGCCTTCCCTTGCTTCACTCATGCAATTTTATGACTGTCGGACATCCTTCTGGGTTGGCGACCCTCTTTGTGTTTTCTTGTGGCTTCCTCTTCTTCTGATTCCCTCCAAAAAAGGCTGGCAAAGGGGGGCAGGTTTGGTTGGTCTGTGCAGCTGCTGGCAGAAGGTGCAGCTGCGGGTCCCTCCGTCCCTTCTCCTCCTCCTCCTCGGGCTGTTCCTCTTGCCGAGGCTCCTGTGGGCAGGTGCTTCCCTCTCCTGCCAGGTCCTCCGCCTCGCTGCTCACCTCTCTCTCTTCTCTCCTCTCACCTTGCTGCCTCAGCCGGAGCCGGAGACCGCCGTGGCTGCCTCCAGCCAGGTATTGTATCCCAGCGCCCTGGACCTTCCTCCATCTCCCGTCTGCCTCTGGGTTGATGTGTGTGCTCGCGCTACATGCTGGAATGTAAGGCTTTCTCCATGTCTTGTGTTTGGCCTGGGTTTTGCTTCCCGACACGCCAGACCAAGGGCTTAGTTTTGCTCGGCCAAGGCGGGCATGGTGGGAGCGGGCTCCTCTGGAGCTCCGGGTCTTGCTCCGGAGCTGTGGTGGCCGTGCAGAAAAGGGGTGGCTTGGTTTGGCAGGGAAGAGAAGAGAAGTCGCCTGCTTTCAGCATTCAAAGGAGGGCTGTCTGGAGGACCCCCCTCTGTCCCCAGGTCAGTGGACATTAAGCAAGGAACAGTGGAGGAAACGAGTCAGGGGTCAATAATCAGCCTGGCCCGGAGGAAGATTGATCCCAGAACGTGGTCAGTCAGCCATGGGCAAGACTTTTCATGGGGGGCCGGTATAAAATGCTTCTATCAATTAATTGTGTGGTGTGCCAGCAACCCAGATCGGGCTTTAGACCAGTGTTTCTCAAGCTTGGCCACTTTAAGACGTGTGGACTTCAACTCCCAGAAT